TAGCCCCAGACCTAGCTTATGTTAAGGGATTATATAGGTCTAATTGAACTTTTGTCTCATAAAATTAAGGATGGCAAAGCATATACACTTAAATAAATTACTTAAGTGTATGGATTACAATTATGATTAGAACTTAATGATCCTAATCAGAGTTATTCACTACGCAACACAGTTAGCTATAACTATTGGTATTGTTCACTCTTTTTAAAGCAATATTGAAACAATTACATTAAAGCTAGCAAAAACAGTACAAGTAGAGATTGATGTTACTCACCCATACCAACAATCATGGGCAGATCTCTTTAGCTCAGCCTGGAGGAGTAACCTTGAAGGGGCATTCCCACTCAGGGGAGGAATCTCCACACACTCTGAGAAGGGTCTTGTTTCAGCTATTTTACCCCCTTTCTAGGCAGATCTTGCAGCTACAGCCAGAAATTGTTTGCACACTCCTGACTGTGGAAGGATTTACAATGTATCTGTGGAAAAGGGATGTCTGCAAATGTTTTGTTGCAGAGAATTTATCTTACTGGAACTGCAGTTATCAAAGTGTATGTAATGTGAATTTCACAAGCATATATTGTTTCCTCAGTCCTACAGGAGAACTATGTGCATTTTAATATTGCTTGTTGAACACCTTAGAAAACATAAATCTCCCAGTTTTGTCTGCTCTTTCTTTTCACTCTGCCTAGTGTGGGATCAGGCAAAGCTGAGTCTCTATAACTGGCTTTGGTATGAAACAACCACATTTAATCCTTATGTGGAAGAAACATCTTACGAGAACTCGCTTTTAGTACAACAGTCTGGATCTTTGGCTTTGAGCTCCCTAACGCATGTCCTGCATAGCCTCACTCTCAATGCCAGGTAAGACACTGTTCCACTTCACAGGAGCATTTGCCAAGGACCCAATCTTTACATTCTGTGTTTTCTGATAATATTGTTCAAGATGAAGATGGTATGACCTGGGTTCCAGTTGACTTTAAATGAGCAGCATTTGGGTGATTAATTAAGCATTAAATGAGCAGCATTGTCCAGTGATGAGATTCACAACCAGGTCTTTGTGCATAAGGCAAAATTAGTTAATATTTTCTAATGGTGGGAATTTTGGGCTGGTTTATTATTTTTTTCAATTATTTATTATTTTTCATTGTTTTTATTTTTTTAATTTTCCCTTTCCTCCTTTCACTTAGGGGGATATTCAGACTGCTTGCTCAGCACCAGCTGGAGAAAAAGGACAGCCCATCTTATCCAGGTAAGTACCCACCTTTTCTCATCTGTTTGGGATGTCGCTGTTCACAGTAGCCCTGGGTTTTGGTATGCAGTTTACATCTCCAGCAACAGAAGTGCTGGAACAGTTGGTTCAGTGAGGCTGTCTTTCTAGTGGCACTGTGTCTGATTCAGACAGGAATTCAACAGACTGGCTGGTTCTGAAAGACAGCCTCCTGCATGCTTAGACAGGACTGAGACTGTTGGTGGGGGGCTGTGGAGTAAAAAAAAATTGAAATGAAGACTGAATTTGTGTAACTTGTACTTGCATGTCCTATATAAATGACTTCTGACGTACCCTTGCTTTCTAGGATACATGTGGAATATTCTGTCACTGTCTGTAATAGGTGTTGGAGTGGATATGAATAACATTTTAATGGTAAAGAAAGCAAAGTAGAGGAGTTGGAAATTAAGAAAGATTAATATTGTAGAAGGTGCATTTAAAGTGCTGTTAAAATTCCATCAGGCACGAGGGTGACTGGAATGTTAATTCAGCTGTTACCCATTAATTACGGAACTATTACTTTGGCTGTATACTTGCAAGAGATGATGTTACTGTAGCCACTGTGGTCTCAGCCAAAGCAAGACTTTCAGGTGGATAATATATGGTGATGGACCTGGAAAAATCTGACAATTTTACGACTTCAGTTTCTTGTTCTTGCCTTTTTCTGTCTCCAGGGCTGTCTTTCCAGGACTTTTACCAGCAGTGTCGGGAGGCTTTCCTTGTCAACAGTGACTTGACACTCAGGGCACAGCTGACAGAATTCAGGGACCACAAGCTCATCCGGACCAAGCGGGTGAGTCCAGGGAAGAATTCTGGATACTCAGCCAATTTGAATTAAAAAAATGCTTACTTGCTGTATTGTTTTAAGCACCTAGGAACTGGCAAGGGACTGAAATTCTGTAATTGAAGCTCTTTCCGTGCCTTCAATTTGTCAACACTCTTTACGTGGATAGAGGGCTGTAGAAACACAGTGTGCTTTGTTTATTCAGCAACCTACTTCTTTTTGAAGACTGTGGGAAGTAGCAGACTGTGGAGCCTGCTATTCTGCTTCCAATAGTATTACCTGTATTTCTATAAGGAAAGAATGCAGACTTGTCATAAGAATGAGGCAGTATAGCAGTACAAGATACAGAAACACAGTGTTGAGGAGCTTCGTAGTTCCAGACAAGCATAACCCACCAGAAGATTTCTCATTTAGTGACTTTCCTCAGTATTTGTGCATTTCCTGTGTTGCTCCAGTGAAATATTCCAGGTTTTCAGCAATGTAGTTGTTCAGAATGCTGTCCAGCTCTGGTAATCCAGACTACAGATAAATGCTAGCATTGCAGTGCTGTCTAGTGGCTTGCCTGGCACTGTACACTGATGTTAACGATGCCTGTGCATGTCTGTTTTCAGGGAGCTGATGGTGTGGAATACTTACTAATTCCTGTCGATGACAGTACCTTGACTGACTTCTTAGAGAAAGAGGATGAAGATGTGTAATGTCCTCAGTGTCTACAGCAATTGCTCTCAATGGCTGCTGGAGAGGGGCCTATGCTCAGATCTTTCTCCAGCCTCACAACTGCACTGATAAGTAATAATTCTAATCAATCTTGCTCATTGTTCAACTACCTCAGGTAGTTTGGAATGATGACTTCTGTAAGCAAGGCCTCTCTTGTGCTCTAGTTGGATTTGTCTGCTTTGTCTCTTAGCTCAGACAATGCCTTCTTCCTATCTGTGCAGCCAACCTCACAGCCAGAAAAACTGACTCGGTGGGATTGTGCCTTCTGCTCTCTACCTCAGTAGACATGAGAGTTTTATTGGAACAATTTACTTGGGAAGTGCAAATCACAAGATGGTAAAGAGCTTTAGTTTGTACTGTTGGTGCAGCTTCTCTCAACTGAGTGCTATCTAGTATTCCTCTACCATTTAGACAAAACTAGCTTCCAGTGTATGAAGACAAGATTTATAATGCTACGAGACCTGCCTCAACTGCATGAGGAAAGGAGAATACTAGTGGGTTTGGGATGCTGCAGGTAACTTAGTAAATTCTGGCAATAAAACTGAAGGACTTGTCCCAAACCCACTTCCTTTTATAAGATTTAGATAATCAAAATTATGGACTCATGTCATTGCCTGCAACTTTCCAAGGTGCAATCCAGGAATATGAAGAGGCTATGTAGCTTTTTTTGTTTATTTTTTCAAAGCTTGATTGTATATTTATATTTTTTACATGAGGAGTGTCCACTGATCCTGGAGGAGGCCTTAAATGCCACTTAGAAACTCTCCCTTTATAAAAGTTCTTAGAGGTTGGGAGATTGCTGAAGTTTGACATCTTTTCTTCAATTATTTTTTTCTCAGTTATGTGGGAGGAAGTTCTGTAGTTCCATCATCTATAGTCTGCCAGCCAGACTTCAGGGACTCTGTATGCCTAATATTTGGTAGCTGTGTTACAGCTCAGTGTTGTAATAGTTCAAATCAATCAAATAAAGTACTTTATTAATTTTCATTGTCTTGTCTTTCACAATCTTTTTATGTTACAGGAAGATAGAGATCTTTGTGGCAGTTGTGCAAAAGCCTAATTTTCATTATTATGTCAAATATCTGTGCAGAAGATTACAAACTACTGAGTAGAAATATTTCATATTGTTTCTTATATCAAAATCAAGACTCATTTGCCTGCCTTTTAATACCAATATATAGGTTTTGAAGAGAACCAAAACATCCCATGGAGTAATAGTTACCTCATCTGCCCCTACTGACAGAAGCAAGAGAGATGGTATGGCCTGACTTTTGTATTAGAAACGTAGAGCATCTCACTATCATCTTGATTCTTCATACAGGTCCTTTCCCTTTACTTGGGAAAGAAGAAATTTCTCACTTCTCAAGATACTGAGGTGCCTTCATGGTATTGGTAAGAATGATGACCCTGATATAGCCTAGGTAGCTTCAGATAAACCAGTCATCTCTTTCCACTTAAATTTAAGTGGAACAAGACATGCAATTAGATTCCTATTAGAGATTCCTATTAGACAGAGACATTGCTTGATGAGTCACTTTTATTAACTTAAAAGGATAGAGCTAAGAGCTTTACAAATTTGTGATAAAATACTTACCATCCAGAGATGGCAGAGTATACAACGGTGAGATTTCTTTTTCTTAAAAAATCCCAACAGAAAAAAACTAACTTGGAAAATAAAACTCATTATCAGTGGTGAAAATACTACTTTGTTTGGTTTTAGTAACCCTGTAATTAAAAGCCACAGTTACGGAAACTTTTTAAAAAGAAAATAACAAAGGCACATTAATTTACCGCATTAATTAATTAATTAAGGAATTCAGTTTCAACCTTACAAAGCTTTTTTTGAATTGAGAGTCCCTCTTTTGAAAAGCCTTAAAGCTGCATTAGTGGTAGATTGTGCAACTAGTACCAACGACTTGCTTTGGGTTCTCTATTTATTTGCATCTGAGTGGTGCCTTAGTATAATTGTTAATGCAAACATCTCCATCCTTTCATTAACTACTATTTCTGAAATTTATTAGGTAAAACATCAGTGACTTGCACTGACATGATTTGACATAACTGTAGTAGGGTAGAACTGCTGCATAAGCTTAAATCTGCAGATAAAAGTCAGGTTTTATGTATTTTACCCAAACCAATCCTTAAGTATCATGGTTATCAACTGTGTCTAATAACATTAAGCAGTAAAAGTAAATTTATTCAAGTACAGTTCAGTAACTGAGTAAATGAGCCTTTGGCATTCTGAAACAAACATTTATTTTCTGACATGACAAAATATACCTCATACTCTGAAGGACCATACGGTACAATCATTCTGTACTGGACCAATTGAAAGCACCTTCATTAAGCTCTGCAGTTGGATAGGTCTGTGCAAGATAACACTAATTTTCTCTCTCCAATTTCCTCCCCCTATGCCACCTGGAGAGGATCTCTGTCTTTCTCAGACACAATGATGTTGATTTTGTTCTGTAGGTGAATGGTGAGTGTGTCACGCAGCTCTGACAGGAAGCCTCGCTCAGTGTTACTGTGCTCACACAGAATAACACTTATCCCATTGGCAACTGCATCCAGCACGTCATGGTGGGACATCTCTCCTGCCATTTTGAGAAAGAAATGTCACAGACATCACTAATGGCACAGTTCAGGTAACCAGGTCTCTGCAATGTATGGAGTGTCTCAGGTGAAAGCTGTGGTGATGTGATGGAAAACAGGCTGTAAGCAGAAATGCACCACCACCTGCTCAGCAGGAACATGGAACACTCCTGCTCCAGGGTCCCGATATCCCTGTATGCAGCTGAGTCAAACCACAGAAATTCCTTGTCATCTTTGATTAGTTGTAAATTCTGCCAATTGGGCAGAAAATAAAAAAGCTCAGAGTGGTCTGTAAGAGGATGGAGGAAAGCAGCTGGGCAGTCTGAGGGTCAGCTCTGCAGGGCTGCACATAACGGGGAGAAGGGGCAGTGATTCCTACAGAATTCAAGGCAGCCTTCACATTGTTGAGCCACAGGGAATAGCTGTCCCACTGCTGGAATACAGAACAATGGACTAAGTGTCCCTTTGGTTAGAGTTTCTTTGGAAGGTTCTGTAGACTACATTATATTCAGTTTTCCATTTGGGAATTCTGGAGGGAATAGAGGAAATACATGTTGCCAAAGGAGAAGCACACTGGAAGTTGCAACTCACTGCCATCAGCACTGATTTTGTGTTGAAATAAATGCTGTAATGTTGTAATTCAAGTTTCTTTCACTGTGCCACACTGCCATTTGATCCATGTTATCTCTAGCAGTTCATCATTAGAGTTTATAATTTAGTTTGGTGTTCCAAAAACTACCTAATTGTTTCTCAATTATAAATAATTGGCAATTCTTTGTGGTCAAATCTTTCAATAGCCAGTCAACCCTCTTATTTTTTGCTGGGGTTTGTTTGTTTTTGTCTCAAATGATTTTTTTTTATAAAATTAATGAAACAGCAGTCCGTTACCTGTGAGATAGAGGTCAGCTTCTGTTCCCTTCAGGACACTGCTCCCTGAACCAGCACACAGAGCAGCTTTCTTCACTGGTGATTCTGCAGGATACAAGGTGCCACAGTTAAACTTCCCTTTTTTTCAACTCTCATGTGTGTATTGCTTGTAACTGTTTCGGTTAACTACCATCTTGATTCTAGAGTAAATGTAAATTTGTTGAAGGGAGAGACACATCTGTCAGTTTGAAAGAGTCATAGGCCTATTACACCTCTGACAATACAGCAAAATCCTCTGTGATAGGTGGATTTTTTTCAAGGGGCAGGAAATTTTGCAGAAAACTCTAACACAGAGGCTGGCTGCTGGTAACCTTTCTCCTAGTGAGGTGTTAGTTTGGTTTCTGAACTCTTTAATAGGCCCTTACTCTTTCCAGGACTCTTGTGTTCCATCAACATTAGTTTCCCAGCTAATGATGCCACTAAGGCAGCATTTTGCCTCTGACATATACTGTTTCCTAACTACTAGCGCTCAGAAGGCCAGTCTTAAAGTAAAAGCTGAAAGCCACTCCATGCCAATAAAAATTGTCCATTTGCTGTGATTGCTAATTCCAAGCTATTACATATATGACAGTGGCATGAATTTTAATTCTTCATATACATTGCGTTCACTAAGGAGAGGGGACACACAACACAGGGAGTTTTCAAAATCTGTTAAGGTTTTACAGTATATTGCCTTGCAATTACTGTTGATTTAAGTGGAGTCACACCACTTCAATTCCATACCATAAAAAGGTTTTGAAGTAGTTTGGGGATTTTTACTGCAATTGTCCGTCCAATAAGATTTCTGCCTCCTAAGTTACAAAGGCTTCTCAACAAATTTACTTTCACAAATTCTACTAGCTGTGCGCCTTGGACATTAGGATAAGTAGCTGGGATAAGAGGATGTTTACCCCACATCTTACTAATGACCCCACTGTTGGAGGTAGTTCACCTTTATTTTATCTTTGACACGGTTCTGTGTTCATAATGATACCATAAAGTGTCTTACTCTTTAAGTGCTCTGAATTTTAACATTCAGTCACAAAAGGGAGCACACAATGAAAGAGTACACCTTTGTGCCTGATATCCTGGGCAGGAAAAAAAAAATCTTAGTCATTATATAAATTACAAAAAACGGTATCTTTCATTCAACTTGTGCTGTACCTTCTTCACCACATCAACCAGCATAATATAGAATCCCATTAAAATACAGATGAGAATCTTTTCATAAGACTGTAAATTCTAAGATGCTGTTTCTTAACAGCGCTTCCTAGTTCTTGGAAGTAAACTTGTTAAAGGCAGCAGTGTTTCCCAGTGTCCTGCAGACACTCATGCTCCCTGTGTTCCTGCAGTGCCAGTCCTAGCAGGAGTCTGGCTTGCTGGCCCATTTACCGAGTGTCCTGCCTGCTCCCACGGCTACGCGGACGTGGGGGAGCTGCAGGTGACCTTTGATACGCTCGATTATGTCTGACAAGGAGACCGGCTCGCTCAGGGTGCACAGGCGTCCCATTCCAGTACGGGGAAGAAGAGGCTGAAAAAAAAATTTAAATTCCTGTTAGAAAGCCGATTCCAGATGCTTGCATTGCTTTCCACACCGTAACAGAATAAGTATATTGGGCTTGCAGGAACATCACTGAACTTTATAAAAATGTATGTATGTAATGTTCTCAAATGTAACAAATGAACTACGCCAGCTATTGGAACTGATTCAAGAACTGGTACAGACCACATGGTTTCATTGCTTTGGAAAACGTGTGTGGCTTCAAATCTTCATAGGCCAGTATTTCAGCGCACTGGAAAGCTGAGTACTGCATTTTAGTGTTTAGGGTACTCAGCTCACACAAGTAATTCATTCACAGGAAGTAATTCTGTGATTTTGTTACCTTTTGTAGTAAGAGAATCTCAGTCTTGTGATAAAGAAGGCTGTTCTGGGACAATAATGCCACCACCTCCAGCAGTGCTTTCTGAGAGCAGTTCAAACTGACTCGTGTTTGCTCCTCACCTTCAACCCTGAGGAAAGACATGCCTGGTGCTTGTTAAGAAGCCAGATAAAATTCTGTAAAATTGTAATTGTTATATTACAGCATCATAATTATTAATTTTGGCATTATCATTATTATTATTATATCTTTGAAGAAACAAATATGGCAATTTAACTCAACTGTCATTAAATTTCCTGTTAATACTCTTCTTTAACACTCCTCATCTATGTGATGCTAGACTTGAGTTCCTATTGCCATTCAGCATGACACAGGTTGACCAGAAAGGAACAATTATTCCTTAAGTTTCTTGTTCTTTTGCTGAAAAATACAGCAGCAATGCACAGAGGAACAAAATTATTTGAACAGTAAAATACAGCAACTTACTGTTTCAAACAACAGAAAGAATACAACATTAAGAGAGAGGAGCAGATACCTAGCTGGAAGAGTAGTGAGACAAGAGATCTCTGGGATGTCTTTGATTTTGGACAGCACTGCATCCAGATGCTCAGCATCTACACAGAACTCAACCCGGTGAGTGCCCTCAGTTGGAGAGCTCAGCGCGGTTGATAGATGCAGTGGGACAGAAGTACAGGCACCTGAGAGAACAGTAAAAGATTGCTGGTTTATAAAGCAGGTGATATATATATATATATATAAAACAGTGATTTAGCACCTAATTTAAAGAGATGTGGCACAAATATAAAAATTTTGCACTCGAATCCTTTTTTCCCTGACCAAAGCTGTGAGCTTTTCATTCTCCTGTCTCCATTAGGCACAGTCTATTTTAAGTCCAAAGAAGCTGATGGATGTTTATTATTTGCTATCTTTAACACCATCTGTTTTATTCTAATGATTGTACAAAACCAGAAGTTGTTTCTGGTTTGTATGGCAGGCTGGAAAAGACACATCTGTGAATCATAATACAGGAAAAAATCTAAAATAATTTCACATAGCTTAAATACTTTGCAAACACTGGGATCTTGTACTTTATACATTAAAGGTGGTGATTTAAAGTCAATGTGTCTCAGTGTTGCAACCACAGTGGACAATAAATATGCTCCACCAGTTCCAGATAGATCCAGTAGTAGAGTCATGCACCTGAAAATACCCTCTTGTATTTGTTAGCTGGTATACATCACCAAGATAAATTTCCTGAAATGTATTTAAGGTTACAGTACTATAAAAATATTAGGAAAAATAGAAACAGTCCTCAAATCACACCTGTAAAAGCTAGAAGGCAAATGATGAAAGATCCCACCTAAAATAGCATACATCTTTAATAATTTTAACTTGTTTGTTCTTAACAGAATCTCACCGAGTCCCTTTGTTAGCCAGTTATTAACTCCGTGAGGTATGGCATCGAAAGCCGTATGAGGAGAATAAATCCCGATTCTGTTCTCCAGGGCTCGGACCACCAGCCGTTCCTTCCAGGTTTTCCATGTCACTCGCTTGAGAGGTGTGAATATAGGAGGGTGGTAAGAAAGAACGAGGTCTGCTTTCTTCTGCACAGCCTCTTCCATCACCTCCTCAGTGAGGTCGTTAGTGAGGAAGAGGGTGTTCACGGTGTGGGGAGGACTTGGTTCCACCAGCAATCCCACATTGTCCCAGCTTTCAGCCAGAGCGGGGTTTGCGAAGTCTTTCAGGGCAGAAACGAGTTCCCGAAGGTTCATGAGGGCGCGTACGGGCTGGCGGCCCAAGGCACGGACTCGGTGCAGAGGCGGGCGGAGCTGCGGCGACGCAGGCAGCGGCATGCGGGGATCTGTGAGGGGCAAACATAGGCCGCCGTGAGCCTCGGCAACCCATCGGCCAAACAGCAGCCACGACCGCTCGGGCTGCGGAGGCTGCCCCACTGCCGGTCAGTGCGCCCGCCCATCCCCGGTACCACCCGGTACCACCCGGTATCGGGCTCCCGCCCCGCACACACCGACCCGTGCCCCGCACCAAACGCGCGGAGCTCAAGCTTCATCCCCCTTCCCGCGGCACATCCGACCCGCGGAGCCCGGCCATGAGGTGCTCACTCCTCGGCGGCGGGGACCGACCGGGACCGGCGGCCTCGGGGCACGGCCGGGCCGGCACCGCGCTCACCTCCCGCCCGAGCAGGGCCGGCGCTGCGGGGCGGGACCTGCGCTCGGCCCCGCCGCTTCCGCCGCGCTCAGCGGGGCTGGGGCGGCCCCTCGGTAGCGCCGGGAGCGAGCTGAGGCCCACGGGAGAGCTGCGGCTTCTCCGGCGCGGGGCTGGGTGTACATCAGCCCCGGCAGGTCACAGCGCTGTCCGAGCGCGGCGGGCGGGCGGTGCCGCCGGGCAGGGGCTCGCCGCTGGAGGAGCCGGGCGGCGAGCGGAGCCCACCTGTTCTGTACGCGGCATTTCGGTGGCGGTACCGCGGGCAGGGAGGGAGCTCCGGCTGCCGTGGGTGAGAGGGAGCCGGGGGCCGGCGGGTTGAGGTGGGGACACGGGACTGGTGCTTCCCTGGGTTCTGCGGGGCTTCACCGGCGAGGGCGGGTGTATAGAGGAGATAATAGCGCGTAAATCTGTCGGCTTCTACGCAGCCGCGGTTTTGTTACCGTCATTCTAAGCGCTTGATTTGAAAGTGTTTCAGAGGTTTAAAACGTCTGTTCCTGGGCTCGGGTGCAGGTACCTGTCTGTTGCAGGCACTCACAGCTGTCGCGAGTTGGCCCCAAATCACACTTCTGTTAGGTACTGGCAAGTGGCTTTTACCTATGAATTTCTGCCATCTACTATTCTAGCAAATGCCATAGTATTTGCAAAAACTGATTGCTTAGTATAAATTTTCATCCTAGGAAAAAGTGCTTTTTGCCCTCTTCCCTTTTCTCTAAGTGGTCTTTTTTCTACTAATTTCTCATTCTTTATGTAGTTGCTTAGTGCAAAAATTTAACCACAGAGTCACTGGAATGGCACCGTAGAACCGTGTGGCGTAAAAGTGTGTAATCAACACATATTTTAGAATTAAAAACAAATGGAGATTGGCAGAAAAAAAACTCAACAGATTTCATATGTTATCTTTGCAGGAAATCGCTGTATCGAAGGCTACGTCAGGTTTTTTTGATAAGCAGGCATGGTAAGATTAAAAGCAGATTTTATATATTTTTGTTTTCTGAAATGGTCATCTCTTGGAAAGCAAATAGCAGCTCTCCATCTCAAAGGATTACATGTTTTACTCTGATGCTATGAGGAATTTGTCATTAAAAGTCCGGGGTTTTCATTTAAAATGTATAAAAAGATACTGTGAAAAGGAAAGCAGGTTGATTTACATCAGTCTAAAACATAATTATTCTTTCACTTTAGAGATCCCAGATTTTAATTCTTTTTTGGCATATATTTGATAATCTGGTTTGGTTTCTTTTGCCAAAGAAGCATTAGTCTAATTGCAAAAACATACCTCTGCTTCAGCATAGGCAAACCTCTGCACTCACAGGCTTTTAAAAGTTTAGCAATTCAAGAAATAGAGATAAAACAGTTTTAAATGTTTTTAAATGTCTTAAACTGTTCATACACCTTCTAGCATCTTCGTGGACATTGTGGGCAACTGTCTCCTTGTATACTTTTGGAGCAGTATGTCAATATCAACATGATGCTGATTTTTGTTGGTTTTGCTGTACAGTTATCCCTACAGTAATTGTTTTTGCGTAGTTTAGCACTTCCCGTAGAAGCACTGAGACATATTTGCCATGTAGAGATAAATTTGCTTAAGTCACTGGGTGATTTTAAATTTTATGAAGGTAACTTATAAATTCTTAAGAAAAATAAATTAATTTGTAGATTTACTTGTCTGTGAAGCACATTATATATGCTGCCATTCAGAATTAGCCTTATCAATCAAAAGGCATCAGCTGCTCCTTTGTAAAGCAGTGAGGTGAGTGCACCATCTAAAACAGATATAACCTTGATTCTTCACCTTTACATTCAAGTGACTGAGTAGGTCCTGTTTGCAAATGAATAATGTATACTGGAGTGTAACAGCATGCAGCATTACCATGGCAAACTGGATTTGTCCTGAAACTAAATGAAACCGAGTGCTTTCTGGTGTTTGTTCTGGAAATGTGGCTGGTTTGTGACAGTAGCCTTGCTTATGGCCAAATGTTGAAACAGTGATTATATGCAGTGCAAACTTGCTTATGTTCTTGGTGGGGCTGGGAAATAAAACGGACTCTGTGAATATTTTATTGCTGATTTAGTTACTGTTTTCTGCCTTTTTCTCAGGCTGTCACGCTGCATACTGATGTGGGAGATATTAAAATTGAACTGTTCTGTGAGCGTACTCCAAAGACTTGTGAAGTAAGTCAAGTACCAGGAGTAGGATTGCCTAGTGGTGAAACAAAGTAGTAGGAATAGTGCAGACTGTGAAGGAGGTGAAGTGGCTTTTGCAATTTCACCTTTTCATGTAATGGAATACCAACATTTTAAACTGGTGCAGTCAGTGTCTGTTCCACTCATAGAACTTGTGCACTCTGTCATACTGCCTAGAGTTTGATGCCTGTTTCTCATTTGATAAGGTTTATTTAAGGGCTGCTTCTCTTGAAGTTCCAGCATCTCCCAAAGTGTCCTTTAAGGGGCAATACAGCACCTAGCATGGGATTCCCAAATTTCCATGGGTTTACTCATACCCTCAGAGACTTGATTTTAGTTTAAAAGAGTGAGACTCGCTCAGTTTGTCAGAGACCCAAATTTTGAATTTTTGGAATAAACTGAAATTGAAATAAATTTAATTAATTTTGATGAAAAAGCTGAGGCATTAAGTTATTGATTACAAAATTACATGTGTAAAATAAAATTGCTGAATGGGAATGATACTTGAGAGGATGTCTTAGGCTTCTTGTTTGTTCCTTAAGTCAGAGAACCTTGCACTGAAAGCTTTTTATTCTTTGTGTGTGTGACACTATGAAATGAGTTTATTAGCTACAATTTGTTTATGACTATGTGGCATACTCTGTGGAATTCACATGGTCACAAAGCAAAGCAGAGGTTAAAGGATTTTTCTTGCCAATGCTGTCATTTTAGTAAGATAATACTATTTTTCAGTTGTTGTTAATATGGTTTGTTTGATTTTTGTAGAATTTCCTGGCTCTTTGTGCTAGTAACTACTACAATGGATGCGTATTTCACCGAAATATAAAGGGCTTCATGGTTCAGACAGGGGATCCATTAGGTAAATTCTTCTGCCTGGGTCTTTCTATGGAAAAAATACACATAAAAATAAAATGTAAGGAAATGAAAAGGAATTATAGGTATTAAAACCAAAATGTAAGTAAAGTAAAAATACAAGAGTTACTGTATTGTTGATAAGAGGTTTTTATGATTAGTTTTCTGTGGTGGGCTTACAGAAGTGCAGGCGTTATCCCAGTTTAAAGTAATCACGCATTCTAAAAACTTAAGTTTTACCAGCTGTTTCCACTAAATACAATGGTTCTGTTGACTTAAGTAGAAGCAGCTGCTTCTGTGCTTTGTGTGGGTTCTGCCTGAAAGGCTGCATCTAGAGCATTTGGGGAAAATGTCCCAGAAGGTGACAGCTGTTAGGGAGAAAAGCTGATTCAGTTGTGTCTGTTCCTACTCATACTGAATTTAATTTGAGGATACCTCAGTGTTTTGTTCTGCTACTTAATAGGTTTCTTATATGGAATTATCTCTCAGGGCAGTGTCAAGAACCTGCCTCAAGCTAATTGCAGCCTGTCTAGGGTCTTTGTTGCAAAATGTTGTAACAGAACATAAGTTCTGGATTTTTTCAGTCTGAAAATCCAGTAATTTCTACTGTTGTGCTTCTTTGTCAGGCACTGGGAAAGGAGGTAACAGCATCTGGGGCAAGAAGTTTGAAGATGAATTCAGTGAATATCTAAAGGTATTTCTGTGCTCTCAATATGCACTTACGTTTTCATCTGAATTTTCTCTACAAAAATTTTCTCTTGGAGAACAATAGCTTATTATTAAAATAGGAACAGGAATTTCTGTGCTTAGCAAATTAGGTTTGAGGGTTTTCATCACTGAAAACAGAACTAAAAAGAATTTCTGACAGCATTTCTCATGCACTGAAGGCAAAGAAGTAATTGTTCACTGTAAGACCCATTTTGAGGAGCTAATTACTGATTGTGATAGAATATATTAGCAACCGAGATTTATTCTTAATAATGGTATTAAGGAGGAGCTCTAAGTCATGGAGCACTTTGCACAGGTTAGTCCTGGTTTCACAGAGGTGTATTCATACTGAGGTTTTTCCCCTTGTTCAGCACAGTGTCCGTGGGGTAGTTTCCATGGCAAACAATGGTCCCAACACCAATGGATCGCAGTTCTTCATCACTTACGGCAAACAGCCACACCTGGACATGAAGTACACGGTGTTTGGAAAGTAAGTGATTCAACTGTACCTCTCTGTCAGTGTGTGTGAGGGATCTGAGTATTTCAGGGCACGTGCAAATGCTTGAACTTCTGTCATGGATGCTTAATATTTCCTTTCAAAATACATTATTTGCCATGTAAAATGTTTTGGTTGTCTTATTTTGTATAATTTGCTTGCAAAGTCATTGCCTGGTGATACTTAACTATGAAGTGCTTTGAGATATCTCAACTGCGCAATTTAAATCATTATTAGAAGGCAATTTCCAGCATTTCTGTTTTTCTTGCAGAGTTATTGATGGTTTGGAGACCCTGGATGAGCTGGAGAAGCTGCCTGTGAATGAGAAAACCTATCGACCTCTTAATGATGTTCGCATTAAAGACATTACAATTCATGCCAACCCTTTTGCTCTGTAGCCACAGAATGCCTCAACACATTCTTCAGAGACTGGTCAGATCATTCCCAAATCATGGGGTTTAAAGAGCCATCAAGAAGGGTTACTTCTGCTGGATCATATATTTGCTCATTGAATGCAGAATTTTCAGGAGCTGTGACATTGTTTGGGAGTTGTCACAGAGAAGTCTTGCACTTCAGAAGCCAGGTTTTCCAATGTATCTTCCAGCATTTTGATTTTTAAACACTGTTTTTTATACTTGTAAAGTAAAAAAAGAAAAAAACTTTAATTTTTTTCCTAGTCTTTGGTTTTTGCATTATCTGATTGATGTTATGTTAAAGCAATATCCTTTGCTATAATTTCATGCTACCAGTTTTGTGAAACTTTCTTGTAAAGTGTCTTTTCCTTTACTCAGTTTTCTCAAAAGAGTAAAGTAAGATACACAGTTTTTTCCCCTAGGTGAGAATAGTGTCATAAATAGATGAAACCTTTCCCTCCCAGAAGATTAAAGAACATATTTAGAGGAGTGTTTACTCTTGTGCTGCTGAGTTGGAATGATAACCTCTTCAGCCTCCCCAAAAGGTAGATGGGAGTAATTTCTTCTGCTTCTGGTACAACATTATTGCTATGAAAGAGTAAGTGTTTCTGTCCTTACATAGCTGTTGATTCAAACTAGGTAACGTGGATTTATTGTAACTTGTTTTTCATCACTTTTTTGCACAAAGACTAGGGGGTAAACACAAAGAGCACTGCCAGAAAGGCTTTGGTCACATAATGCTGAACAGATAAGAAAGAGGTATTTTGGACTTCTTCCCCCAGTCCTCTTTCCACTCAGTGAGCATCCCTTAGCAAAGCCCATTCTTATATGTATACATATATACATATACATATATATATATACATATATATATACATACACACACATATATATACATATATACACACATATATATACATACACACATACACACACATATGTATATGCTTTGTAATCCTTGGGAGGCTTAAGGTCCAGCTGACTTGCAGTCTGCTTCAGACCATTATTTCCCCTTTTGAGACTTGGCCTCTTCAAAAAACGGGCACTCATTTGCAAGAGAAAGGCAAAGGTATGCCAGGTACAGATTACTGAGGTGTTAATGAGAAGAGCTGATCAATACCTGCTTGAGGATACGAAGTTTCTGTATTCTTCATGGAATGTTGCTTTAAGCCTCCAGCCCTTGTTCCAGACTTAACATATTTTAGTGTAATACATGAATGTTACATGCAGGAGGAATGACATACTGGGAAATTTCCTACAGTGCAAAGGAACTGTAAATAACTAATAATTTAAAATTGCACTAAACTGGAAACAATTTTAGGTCTTTATTTTTTTTTTTTTTTTTTTTTTCCCCCCACAAAAAGAAGGCTGTTACATAGAAAACATGAAATATGGCAGCACCAAGTATTTTGCTCTCTGGAGGAGACACATTAAATGTAGATACTTTTTTTTTTTCCCTTATGTTGTGTATTGAAAGGAGAGTAGTCCTATGGGGACAAAATTACAAACAAACTTTTCAAAATTGTATTCCTTCTGTTTTTTTGGACTTGGTCTAAGCTGGAGAGCAGTGGGCAGGAAGAAAATAATAGTGCATGAACTTTGAGCAGTGACAAACTTCTCCATATGGGAAGCTGATTCCAGAGGACCACTAACCACGTCCAGGGCAGTACAGAGACGACAAACAGCCTCGCCAGCAGGGTAAGAAATGAACAATTTCCCAACCCGGAGTCCCTGCCGCCCCCTACGATCCCCCGCCCCCCTCAGGCCGCCATGTTCTCTGTGCGCCTGCTCGGGCGGGCAGAAAATGGCCTCGGCCGCTGTGCCGGGGCCGGAGCCTTTCCCGGAGCTCCCGTTCGGGCCCAGCGCGGAGCCTCTCGCCGGGGCAGCCATTCGGGGCCCGCGGACATTTGGGGCCGGGCCCGCGTCCCCTTCGCTCCGCCTGCCGGGGGCGTCCCGGGGCCGGCAGCGGCCGCCGACCTCCGGCCTGAGGCGCTGCAGTCGGCTGGGGGCTGAAATGGGAGTAAGAGACGGGTGGGTAGAGAGTTAGGCCCCTTTTCCTCATGCGGCGCTAACTAACTAACTGTGGGCTAACCCGAGTTCTGTCGTCTCCCATGGAAAAGCTTCATTGAAATCTTAATATTTGCCCTTGTTCAGCACACAAAAGCCTTTCTTCTTCCTAAAATAATGCAGCAGTGGGGCCTGAGTAGCTTGGCAGGAGTGTCCAAGCCACAGTATGTCTTTAAAAGGCTTTTTTTAAGGAGAAGGTTACAGGTTTAACTTCCCCTAGCAAAAATACTTAACTCAAAAAAAACTCTTGAATTAAAAAATAACTTCAAAGGAGAAGCAGAGAAAAAAGCCAAAACCTGGGATGTTGAGGGAAAAAAATCCTCATTATAGTTTAAATTTGATAATGGCCTTGAAAATGAATTGTCTGTGATATGTAATTCAAAGAGTAAAATATCTACGTTACACTTGGGTAATTTCAGTCAAACTAAGGGTGCTGGCAGGGATAGAAGACCACTTCGCAGAAGGTGCAGCAATGCTAAGAAGGGAAAGGGGACACCATTCAGAAGTGCACAGGAGAAAAAGTGCTGCAACCATCTTTCTGAAACTCCTGACAGGTCTATAAGTTCTGGGCTTCTGGTATCAGCAGGCATGTTTTAAGAATTTATTATTCTAATCAGGTCATGTGATGCCAGATTAATTTTTGAGTTGAAGGTATTTCAAGAAAGATGTCTTGCAGCTTTAAACAAAAAGCTGCTTTCACAGAATGATTTTAGTTACATTTACTGGATCTTACTTTTGTAGCAATGATTCAGAAACCAGTTCTGTGAATGAAAGAGGCTGTTGTCAGTGACAGTTTTGTAGTTCGCAGTCACAAGTCCAAGGAAGGATGCGACACTGCGCATCCGAGGAGCTCAGATCCGAGGGATCTGGTCTGAAGTGACAGCTGGTGGCAGAAGGAAATACAAGACACTTTATAAATACAGTAATTCTAAACCTCCACAGGTGATAGGACCAATTTTAATTTAGTTTGTTGGTTTTTTTTTAAGAAGGTAGATTCTCATCTCACAGTAGTAATTGAGTGTTGGGCCTGTGGAATTCTGTGGCTAACAGTTTATTCCTTTGGCTCATATTAGCAGCTGACTGTTTTTTGCTAGGATTCCATTTCCTTCAATAAAAATGTATAATTTGTACATATGCTTGTGATACCACAGAACATGGTCCTGCTATTTGTTCACTGAATATATTTGAGCAGATTAATGAACACTAACCATTAATTGGAATATTTAAAATATGGGCATCACTTTCATGCCTTCAAAATTTATATTATGTCAAGCATTTGCTTAACCCCTACTCCAAGGACAAGTTTTTAAACTAGATTTTTACTAAGTGTCACTGAAATAGCAAGGGGGGTCATGCCAGACTGACTTTTTCAAGTATCATTGAGAAATCTGTAGAATTAAAAATGGATGACGTCTTCCCACTAGCAGGGTGGGTTTTCTGATTTTTGTTATACTGTTAAAAAACCCGAAGATTTGAGTTGTAAGTTACGATCTTAAGCCAAGGCAGTGTAAAGCAAACACATATGCTTTTATGGTTAAAAAAGTAGCTTCTTGCCAAATACTCATGTAAGTTATTTAATGTTGATTGCTTAAGATGGCTATTTTAATTTGTACACAAGACTATTTAAAAATACATATGTGTACAGTGTGTTCTCATGGAATGCTACCTTGGAGCAGCACTATTTCCTGTGAGTTACTGTGAACTTTAGAATGATGCAGTATCTGTTATGCTCCTCAGGTGTGTGAGAAGATTCTGGAGAGGCAGGAACTCAGGGCAATGATTTATGCAAGAACTTCAGCTGCCTTCCTCCATGGTGCCAAACTGAAAAGAGATATAGGTACAAGGGAACGGTATGAACAGAACATTTTTACACACTGCTTTCAGTCAACATTTTGGCAGCAGCTTGGTGTGAAGGATCACTCTCTTAACATTTGCAATTTACAAGCCATGCTAGTAACAGATGTTGCTTCATCTGTCACCATCAGCAAATTCAAATACCTCAACTTTGTCATCTTGATAATATTGCTGAAACTTGAGATTAATCAACAAAGTAAAAAAAAAAGTAGGGTCAAGAGTAAAAACATTCAAGGGATAAAATCCAGTACACTCTACCTTACTTTAGGAAACAGATTAGGACAGCCTCTTTTTTCCTTAATGTGAAACTGATTATTGGTTGCAGGGTACAGTGAAAAATAGTTCTTGATAACTTCCTCTAACAATGAACAAAAATGTCTCTCTGGCTTTCCCTTCAGAGCCATGGCAAGGAACTGGGGCCTTTGCCATATCACATGATAAGAAAAGCAGGTAATTATATTTTTATGTACCTGGACAGCTATAGTTTAATTCAAATATTTTCAGACTAGGTTTAAGGCCCGTCATCTCTTTGAGAAGCTGGCTGCTCTGATGGAGTATTCCCAGATCACTTCCCAAGCTGCAAACACATATGTCTACTGAAGGGCCAAAACAGAATATTTGAGTAACAAAAACAGTCTAAAGGAAATTAAAATTTTTCTGTCAAGGACAGCTGGATTGGGATGAACAAAATCCTGGTGGCAGATACTTATCAACCCCCTGTAAGCCACTGAAGCCAAGATGTGACAGGGAAAATGCTTTTGAGGAGAGAAGCTTTAAGCATAATTGTAAGATACTATTTCTTTGTTTATTTTATTTTCATGAAGGAATTCAGGAATTCAGTTTTCATGAATCATGCCGGGATTCTGACCACAAGAATCTCTTTGACCTGCTTCAGAAGATGCTGGATTATATCCTAAATAAGCACTGCTCTTAATGTGCAGCACTTTCCTTTCTTCTCTCCACTGAAAGGCAGAAAGAGGGCACAGGCTCCTGCAGCTAAGCAGGCTGAGTCACACAGACCAAAGAAACTTAAACAGTGCTGACTTTTGATTTGGTTATAAGTGCCTTATTTTCTAGTATGACTTCTTGGATACTTACCCCAATATTGACATAAAATTTACTTACTATATAGATGAACCTGGTTTTCAAACTCGTGGGATGTTAGCACTTCTAACATGCAAGAGAGCACCCTAACAGCAAGAAAGTATTATTTTAATTACATTTTATTCAACAGTCCTTAAATCACACAAAAGACTGTGCACTGCTTTGTACCCTGTAGTGACACTGGTGCCTTCTTTTCAGGTAAGAAGCAGAGACAGCCCTTGGCATTAAGTGTAAGGAT